GCCAAAGGTGACAGTGGCAAGGAACCAAAACTCCATCGGTGACAGAAATGGAGAAAAAACCTTGGGAGAAACTAGGCTCAGTCGGAGGGCAAGTTCTCCTAAAACCAGCATGGCATGGTTTAATTCCAGGCTGCAACACATGTCAGATTATGCAGAGGACCCCATGGTTTTGTGCCGATGGTCATCAAGGTGACGAGGTCGGGCGCATCTAGTTGACAGTCTCCACTGACATTCAGAGGTTTAGAGGTCGTCTCTAGGTGCTGATCCACCATCTGGTCTGAATATGGACTGGATCCGTTTGACAGTGGATTCCTTCTATAGTTTCAGAGCCCTCACTGGTGTTTATTTTTTTATTTTTTGAGCAGTCATGAATTAGTGATTCAAAACTCAGGAGGTGTGTGGACTTTTTCTAGTACTCTTAAATCTACACTATTATACTTTTGGGCCTTTAGTGCAGGGGAGTTCAATCCTTCTCCCGGAGAGCCAGCGTCCTGCAGATTTTATTTCCAATCAGCTCCTACTCGCCTGACTGGAAGTTTCTAGTGAGTCTGAAGACTTTGATTAACTGATTAAGGTGTGTTTAATTAGGGTTGGAGCTAAACTCTGCAGGACAGTGGCCCTCCAGGAACAAGTCTGGACACCCCTGCTTTAGTGGCTGAAACCTATAACTAACAGTTACTTGCGGTGGAACACTTGTTAATTATGTGAGTTGTTATTTTGCTCCGCTGTTCTATGCAAATGAATCTGATTGAGGCACTCCAAAATAATAAATAAATCAATTAATAAATAATGAAAGAAAGGTGGATATCTGAAAATGTCTTGTGAGCATGTATGTATGGCTACTAGGCTATTCATAGGCAAATAGACTAAAATTGTAACTGGTTTACAGACAGGCTTTGTTACCAACATGAACATTGTTTTATAAACCTAGTCAATGCACAACAAATGTGATGCCATGCAAACTAAACATATTTCTGAAATGCCAAGTGGTGTTGATTTGTATTTTATTATGGGTACTGTCACTTTCATTTTTTTTGCTTGCAGTCATTTTGGTTTAAGGTTCATTTTGTTGTGGCTTCAAGCTACTATGACACCATTGACTGCATGCAGTAGGAGCCTGACCTTCTTTCCTTTATTTACAGATATGACATAAACATGCATGGACAAATTATGGAAATATGCAGTTTCCCATGGAATCCATTCAAACCACTCTAAAATATAGATCATTATTAAAGACTTATCATAGTTATTCAGGGTAAGACAAAAACATTGTATATAACATGAATTTATCATGTACTTGCGTATTATTTAAAGTTTGCTCATTTAAAAAATATTGAATATAACATGAATTTATCATGTACTTGTTTATTATTTAAAGTTTGCTCATTTAAAAAAAACAAACAAAAAAAAGTTAGTGTATCTTTAAGGTTCCCATTGGTGCTCAGGCTGATTTTAGAGGCCCTATTGTCGGGCCCTTGCGATTACATAATGGAGTCAGGTCTGCACTTTTCACAGTGTCCAATTCTGCTACAAAAGAGTGGGCAGCCCCAGGGGACGATGTCATCACCGTTAATCATGTGATTGACCTCCAGGCCACGCAGGTCTGACAGCTCCTCTTTTGGTATCTAATTTCATTCAATGTGCCTGACTCAGAATCAGTATTCAGAAGCCTGCTGAGCACTGAATCACACTCTTCAATCTCTCAATGCCTTGTTCAGTCAGCCATGGAGCTAAAAAGGAGAACTGGGGAGCCGGCAACACCTCAGCAGGCATCTGTCTCTGAGGGGAGGCCATTTTTTTTTTTTTTTTTTGGGTTTTTTTTTTTTTTTTTTAGGGTTGTGAAAGAGAGATGAGAGTTGAGGAACACAGGTACAATTTGTCATGATTCCTGTCTTGTTTACCTGGCTTTTGTGTGGACTTTTAGTTTGTAGTTATTGATTTTTACTCAAGGGTGCATTCTATTCAGTAGGGATTACACATATTCACAGACGTCACCTTCCGCAAGTAATATTCGTAAATATTTATATATTAGGAGTGGAACGATACATGTATTCGTACCGAACCGTCACGGTACGGACATCTCGGTGGGCATGAGGCCTTACAACGAATACAGGCAATTCACACCCAATCCAGAAGAGGGCTCCCGGCCGCCAGCAGAAGAACAGTGAATGCCATGAGTTGCGCACTTGAAAACAAAGCCCACTAGACAGTGTCCATGTGCTGATTCTGAATGCGTCTCTCACCGACTGACAAAGGAGTATACTTTAAAGGCTTGTGCACTCAACTGTTTGCAAAATGGAGCTTTGTGCTCGTGTATCCTACCTCTCTCATTCGGCACAAATCCAAATATTCCATAATATTTCCATATTTGCGATGTAACGTATCTGAATGCTAAACTATTATTTATTATG